AGAGAGAGAGAGAGAGAGAGAGCGAGAGAGAGAGAGAGATTTTTAAATATTATACAAAAAGCAAGAACAAAACATATAATGATACATATATATATATAGAGAGAGAGAGAGGGAGAGAGAGAGAGAGAGAGAGAGAGAGAGAGAGAGAGAGAGAGAGAGAGAAAAAGAGAGAGAGAGATATGGAGAGAGAGGAAGAAAGAGGGAGGAGGGAGGAGGAGGGATGAGGAGCAGGAGGAAGGAGGAGGACCAGGACAGGATGCCTTAAGCACTGCTTGTTTCGCTCTCTCACATCCCTGAGCAATTTCTTGTTTCGCTTGAGGCATCCTCGAGCAAATCTCTCGTTTCGCTTGAGACATCCTCGACAAATCTCTCGCTTTGCTTGAGACATCCTCGAGTATTTGATTGTTCCGCTTGAGACGCCGTCGACTAGCCTCTCGCTTCGCTTGCGACATCCTCGGGCAATTCCTTGTTTCGCTTGAGACTCCCTCTCATCCCTCCCCCCTCCGTCCTCGATCGGCCCTCGGGTCGAGATTCCAAGGTTCTCGGGCCAGGGGTCCGGGATCTTGTGATCTCGGATCAACGATGGCCCGAGGCTCTCGGAGCCTCGATCCAAAGATCGATCGAGGACCGAGCATCGACGAAGGGATCTCAGACGAGGTGACCTTGAGACAGAGGCTCGATCCTCGATCGACTCTCGGATCGAGAGTCCAAGGTTCTCGGGCCAGGGATCCGAGATCTTGTGATCTCGGATCAACGATGGCCCGAGGCTCTCGGAGCCTCGATCCGAAGGTCGATCGAGGACCGAGCCTCGACGGAGTTGCGCTCGATGTTACGCTCGAGAGGGGGCCGACGAAGCCTCTCGGGAAACCTCTCGGACAGCTCGAGGGAACGGGCCTTGATCGCCGCTCGCCCCTCGATGAGGCCTCTATGAAGCCTTGCGCTGGGCCTGCTCAGCTCAAACCTCCACCTCGATCTTCTCGAACTCTTGCTTGCTCGTCTTCTCGACCTTCATCTCCTCGTACTCGTTGTTGATCTTGGTGTAGTTCGGGAAGCTAGTCTTGGTGTGCACATCGAAGAACATCTTCTGATGCTCGAGCTTCTTCTTCTCCTCGGTGTCCTCGTCGCGCTTGAGGCGCTTGGCGGCGGTGTACTTGTGCACGTCGAGCTCGAAAGCCTTCTTGGCCACCTTGCTGACTTTCCAGCGCCACGCCACGATGGCGTTCGTGGTGCAGATGCGCTCGCTTGCGTCGCCCTCGAGGCAAAACCGCTTGAACTCGTCGAAGTAGTCCTTGGTCTTCTTGGGCGCGGTTGCTGCCGACTCGAACTGCTCCTTGCCTTTCTCGGCGTTCGCCCTCGGCAAGACAGGCTTGAATTGCTTGTTCACTGGAAGCATCACCTCGCGCAGCGCTTGCAGATCTTGGGGGGTCTCGCCGAGGACCTGCTGGGCAACCTTGGTCGCGGCTCCCTCGGGCATCATCTCGGCCTCGTCGCCGAGGGGCGCTTCGCGCGTTTTGGCCTCGTCGAGCAACTCCGCTCGGCAGCTCGGCGGCATCCTGAACGACTTCTCGACGTTCGTGTCTAGGTCGCCGAAGCCGCCGAACATCTCGGCGCTCCCCTCGATGTGCGTCTTGTAAAAGATCGCGCAGGGCAGCTCGCCGCGCCGCTTGTCATTGCCGTGGAAGATGTCGTCGTACTGGGTGCCCTCGAGGCCCCCCGTCTTGAGGGCGCTCGTGAGGACGGCGTTCCCGATGTTCTTGTGCCACAGCGCGGAGCCGCCTCGGCAGTAACAGCTCGTCATCTTCGAAGCGTCGGTAGCCTCGCCGCTCGATTGGCGCTGCCTCATCTCGGCGCAGCCTGCCTTCTCGGCGATGTGCTCGAGCGTCTTGTTCTGCACCTCGATGGCCTCGTTCTGCTTCCCGAGCAGCTTGGACATCTGCTCCAAAACCTTGTTGTTTTGCTTGAGCAGCTCGATGACTTGGCTGTCCTCGGCGAGCTGGGGGCTCGACGCCTTGGGCGACGCCATGGCTCGGGAAGCTCGTTTCGCTGGAGACATCCTCGAACAAATCTCTCGTTTCGTTTGAAACATCCTCGACAAATCTTTCATTTCGCTTGAGACAGCCTCGAGCATATGCTTGTTTCGCTTGGGACATCCTCGACAAGTTTTCGCTTCGCTTGAGACATCCTCAAATAATTATTGGTTCCGCTTGAGACATCCTTGAAATATTGATCGTTTGGTTTTGGTTTGCCTCCCAAAATATTGATTTCGTTTGAGACATCCTGAAACAACGCGTTCGCTTGGCTTGATTTTGTTATCTCAAAATAAGAAGGAAGTAACCTCGATGGCGAGCTTTTCCCGTGATAATGAAGTTCGGCCTCCGCGCCCCCGCGCCCCCGACCAATTCCTTATTGGTCGACGATAAATTATCCCAATGCGACCCTACCTAAGAGTTGGAACCCCTAGGAAATCAGCATAATTAGTAACAGTAAAGCTAAGCTAAAGCTATGCTAAAGCTATGCTAACGCTAAGCCCAAGCTAAGCTAAAGCTAAGCTGAAGCTAAGCTCAAGCTAAGCTAAAGCTAAGCTAAAGCTAAGCTGAAGCTATGCTGAAGCTGAGCTACATCTAATCTAAAGCTAAGCCAAAGCTAAGCTGAAGCTAAGCTGAAGCTAAGCTGAAGCTAAACTAAAGCTAAAGCTAAAGCTAAAGCTAAGCTAAAGCTAAGCTGAAGCTAAGCTAAAGCTAAGCTAAATCTAAGCTAAAGCTAAGCTAACGCTAAGCTAAAGCTAAGCTGAAGCTAAGCTGAAGCTAAGCTAAAGCTAAAGCTAAAGCTAAAACTAAGCTAAAACTAAGCTGAAACTAAGCTAAAGCTAAGCTAAATCTAAGCTAAAGCTCAGCTAAAGCTAAGCTAAAGCTAAGCTAAAGCTCAGCTGAAGCTAAGCTAAAGCTAAGCTAAAGCTAAGCTAAAGCTAAGCTAAAGCTAAGCTAAAGCTAAGCTGAAGCTAAGCTGAAGCTAAGCTAAAGCTAAAGCTAAAGCTAAAGCTAAGCTAAAACTAAGCTGAAACTAAGCTAAAGCTAAGCTAAATCTCAGCTAAAGCTAAGCTAACGCTAAGCTAAAACTAAGCTAAAGCTAAGCTAAGCTAAAGCTAAGCTAAAGCTAAGCTAAAACTAAGCTGAAGCTAAAGCTAAAGCTAAAGCTAAAGCTAAAGCTAAAGCTAAGCTAACGCTAAGCTAAAGCTAAGCTAAGCTAAAGCTAAAGCTAAAGCTAAAACTCCCAGGGGACTGGGGGAACCGCGGGGCGGGGACTGGGGGAACCGCCCGGGGCGCTTTCCATTGCCCGGCCCCTTTAAGCTAAGAGAGTAAGAACCCTTCTAGGCAGAGCCTAGGTAGGGAACTAACGGCTTAAGGGGGGGGTACATTATTATCCAGGGCATGGTGTTATGATGATGATGCTGATGATGATGATGATGGAAATGATGGTGATGGTGATAGTGGTTGTGATGTTGATGCTGATTCTGATGATGCTGATGATGATGACGATGCTGATGCTGATGCTGCTTCTGATGCTGCTTCTGCTGCTGAGGACGATGGTGATGATGCTGCTGCTGATGATCATGATGGTGATCATGGTGATGCTGCTGATGATGGTGATGCTAATGTTGATGCTGATGCTGACGCTGATGCTGATGCTTCTGATGATGATGTGATGTTGGTGATGATGATGCTGCTGATGATGATGCTGATCATGGTGATCATGATGCTCATGCTGATGATGCTGATGATGATGATGATGCTGGTGGTGATGATGCTGTTGCTGCTTCTGCTGCTGCTGCTGCTGCTGATGATGATGATGATGATGAGGATGAGGATGAGGATGCTGATGATGATGATGATGCTGATGATGATGATGATGATGATGATGCTGATGATGATGATGCTGATGATGATGATGATGATGCTGATGATGACGATGATGATGATGATGATGATGATGATGATGATGATGATGATGATGACCGTGCTGATGATGTGATGGTGGTGATGAGGAGGAAGTGGAGTGGAGGCATGCAAGGATGCTTTCCTGCTTCTCTGAGGTTTCGTCGTCGTCCTCCTGATCCTCCTCCTCCTCCTCCTCCTCCTCCCCTTCCTCCTCCTCCTCCTCCTCCTCCTCTCCTCCTCCTCCTTTTTCCTCCTCCTCCTCCCCCTCCCCTTCCCCGCTCCCTGGCCAGGGAGGGCCGCGGCGGGCTTGTGGGTGCTTGCGCGGCCCTCAGAGGAGGGAGGAGCAAAGCAGGAGAAGGAGCAGGATGCGGCGACGGAGGAGGAGGGGGAGGAGGAGGAGGAGGAGGGGGAGGAGGAGGTGGAGGAGGAGGAGGAGAAGGAGGAGGAGGAGGAGGAGGAGGATGAGGAGGAGGAGGAGGAGGAGGAGGAGAATCAGGAGGAGGAGGAGGTGGAGGAGGAGGATGAGGAGGAGGAGGAGGAGGAAGGGGAGGAGGAGGAGGAGGAGGAGCAGGACGACGAAGACGATCGAACACGATCTGCGTCGCAATCCTCCTCCCCCTTGTCCTCCCCCTCGTCCTCCCAGCCTGCCTCTACCCCTCGCGTCGGGAACCTCCGAGCGATGCGGTGATTACCCCGTTCGGTAAGTTGGTGGGGATTCGGGGTCACTGCATGGTTTTGGGGCTCGGGTCGATCTGCGAGGACGTTTCGGGCGACTGGGGCCTCCAAGGTTCCAAGATAGTGCATTGACTTTGGACACCCAAAGGGTGCACGGAAGAAATTGGCAACTGCGATGCGCAACAGCGGCCGCTGTTAGGCAGGTAGCCTTCTGTCTCAAATGGGCAGTGCCCGCGGCGGCACCGACAGCAAGCCCAGTTCAACATGAACAGGAACTGCCGTCGGTCCTCATATCCATTCATTCCGCACCCATTTCGATCGTCCGCACGGACTGCCACCACACGGTTTTGGGACCCCCAATCCCAGCCTATCTTTCCTCCCGCTCCCCGCAGCCGTCGTGTCCTCAGCGGTGGTGCCGCGGGGTCCCAGGCTGACGCGGCCCGCGCCCACCGCCTCGTCGCGCGGCCTCAAGTCCACAGACTGGCCACGACTGGGGGAGCCGTGAGCCGCAGCCCCATTTCCGGCGGCGAAATCCGAACCCACCCCCGCCGATCAACGATTCATGCAATTCGATGGGCGGCGGGGGTAGGGTTCGGAACTCGTCGAACACATGGCGAAATCCGAACCCTACCCCTGCCTCCCATGAGCTCAGGAGAATCGACGGTTGGTGGGGGTAGGATTCGGAGGTCGCCACTTACCCCTGGGGGACCCATCCGTTTCGACACCTTGGAGCTGGCTTGGAGGCTGAGGTGGCCCAGCACTGGTTCTGGCCAGCAGCAACGGGGGAGAAAGGGGCCTCCTCGTCGCCACTGCTGGACGCTGCTCTAAAAACTTATCAGTCTCGACCCCGGGAGGGGTCGGGGGACCGATCTTGAGCGGATTTGCCTTCGTCTCCCGTTTCCGTGCAGAAGCGGGATTTCCTCGATCTGCGGATCCGGTGCCCACGCGCCAGATCCACGGATCCGTGCTCCAAGTTAGCGCGAGCCCGATAGAGGTCGTCATGGCTTCGCCCAGGGGAGATGAGGAGCGCAGCTCTCCCAGTTGTGCCTGGTCGGGTTCAGGGGTCAGAGTCCACATGGCTGCCTTCAACAACACCCAGGTGAGCGTGAAGATCCTGGAGCCGGCGGCGGAGGGCGAGGAGGGCAAGTTCTACTGGGGGATGGCGTCGCAACCGGGACCCAGGGACCTCTTTCAGCTCTCTGTCAACAAGCGAACGACCGTCAGTCAGCTCAAGGCGATGATCGAGAAGGAGAAGGGCATCGACAAGGCAGCCCTGCGCGTGATATACTTCGGCAAGGAGCTCGCCGGAAGCCGCGACATGGAGAGCGTCGGCTTCAACCACACCGACGACCCCCTTCTGCATGTGATCCCGCTGCCAGGGTCTTGATCAGGGGCAATGTTCGGGGGGAGTATGCACAGGGGGGATGTATCGACCCCCATTCGCCCACTGATCACCGACGGTTGCCCAGCAGCCCTTTTCAGACCCAGGAGCGTGCGGAATCGTCGTCGCCGATCTATCGGCGATGTACCGCCGATTCCAGCTCGATGCTCTCGAAGAGGAAATCCGCACAAACATAAACTGTTGGCGCTCCGCGCAGATATCTTGGATTCGCGCCTGGGCCCCCGGCGGCATCCGCGCGGAGCGCCAAAAGTTTATGTTCAAGGATTTTTGTTGTTGTTATTTCTTCTTCTTCTTCTTATATCGATGGTCCCCTCCCGCCAGTCCCCCCCTAATGTTCCCCCTCGCTTGAGCTGCGGCCGTCGGCGGCGAGCCCAGGGGGGAAGCGAGAGGGCGCGGGCCCCTCTCAGACGGCGGCGGGGCTCCTCGGAAGCACTCGCACCTCGCGCCCTCTTGAAGGCCGACACGTGGCCCAAACCTTTGTAAAATCAGTGATTTTGGCATTCGCGCCGAGGCCTCTTGGAGCGTTTTGGGTGCCTCTGGGGGGGCCTCCTGGGGCCCTTGGGGGTCTCTTGGGAGCCTCTTGGGGGCATCCTGGGGGCCTCTTGGGGGCCTCTTGAAGAAGCCTCGTGGACCTTCTCCGAAGCCCCAGGCGGCTTCTCAGAAGGCACGAGCTTTTGAGAAGCCCCGCCAACTTCTGACAGGGCCTGCCCCCTTCCTCGCCTCCCTCGGTGCGCTGTCGAGCTTGGTCCTCGGGACGTAACTCGGGTCTACGGTCAAGTCGGGCCTGTCCCTCTACAGGAGAAACATCCCTAAGAAGTTTAAACAAATAGCCTGGGAACGATTTTTTTGTGTAGTTTGGAGTATTTTTGGGCTATTTTTAATTTTTCGTCCCAAATCCGCCTGTAGGGGGACATGCCCGACCTACGTCTACGGCAGCCGTTCGGGACCATTTGGGCAACCCCAGAACGCCCTCGGCGAGGCGCAGCTGCTGGAGTGCATCCCGAGGCTGGAAACTCGCCGAGGCCTGACGAGCGCGCCCGGAAACCTCCCAGTCTCGCACCCGAAGCTCCCGAATTCTTGCCCTCGGGCCTGCCGCCGAGGCCAGGTCCGGCGACCGCCACCCGACGCCCCCCGCGGAGGCGCGCAGCTGTGCGTCTCTGCGGAGGCGCACAGCTGCGCCCGGGCCGCGCGGCAACGCCCGCGCGCACGCCCCGGGCCCGGCGAGACAGGCGGCGGCGCCCAGCCTTTGCGCCCCTTCGGCGGCGCGCGGAGGGGAGGGTGTCTCGGGGGGGGCAGAGAGGGGGGTGATGACTTGAGGGGGGGGTTGGACATCATGGCCGGGGCCATGATATCTCTCCAGATTTCATGGCGGCTCTTCTTATTTCAATGCGTCCCCTGCCGCCCCCCTTGGGCCGCGCACGTGCCGCTGGCCATGATCTGCGCCCCCCCCCTCTTGGACGCCCCCCTCTTGGACGCCCCCGTGTGTCGGAGCCGCCGCTGGGAGCCCGTGAGCGCGTTTGACTCCTTTGTGTTTGCTTGCGCGAGCGGTGAGCCGCTCCCTCGCGTCAGAAGCAACGCTTGGGGGGGCGATCGGCTCAGCTGGGGGGGGGATGCGACGACCGCCCCTCTGAGATCCGGGCGCTGCATTTTTTTTGTTGTTTGCGCTGGGCGAATGTGCCCCGCTTCGGGACCTGGGGCCCTCACGGATCGATGCAGCTCGAAACATGGCACAGGTAGATGGGGCCTGGGGTCCCAGCAGTCATTGTTGAGATGCCTCAGTTCAACGTCGACTCTCAGGGCTCCTTTTAGGTCGGGCTTGTCCTTCTACAGGGGGGAATTCCAAAACAGTAAAAATAGTACGGGGACGATTTTGCACTATTTCCCAACCATCCTGTGGTGTTGGGTCCTCGTTTTGCGTCCCACCTTCTCCTCTCCTCCTCCCCCTCCTCCCCTCCCATCACCATCACCATCACCATCATCATCACCATCACCATCACCATCACCATCACCATCACCATCACCATGATGACCATCACCATCACCATCACCATCACCATCATCATCATCATCATCATCATCAGCATCATCATCATCATCAGCATCATCATCATCATCATCATTATCCCCTCCCCTTCCCCACGCCATCGTCACCATCATCACCATCACCCATCATCCATCAGCATCATCATGTGCAGCATCATTCTCATCCACATCCTCATCATCATCGTCATCATCATCGTCCCCACCGCCCATGTCACGGTTCGTGGCCCCATGGGGGGCTCCACCGAAGGCCCCAGTGGCACAGTTCGCATGTGTCCTCCCCGCCCACCGCATGCCCATCTCGGCACACCCCTCACACGGTTCGTGGCCCCATAGGGAGCTCCACCGAAGGCCCCAGTGAGGGTGTCCGCATGCGTCCTCCCCGTCCACCGCAGGCCCATTTCGGCACGCCCCTCACACGGTACGTGGCCCCATAGGGAGCTCCACCGAAGGCCCCAGTGGCACAGTTCGCATGCGTTCTCCCCGCTCACCGCAGGCCCATTTCGGCGCACCCCTCACACGGTTCGTGGCCCCATAGGGAGCTCCACCGAAGGCCCCAGTGGCACAGTTCGCATGTGTCCTTCCTGCCCACCGCATGCCCATCTCGGCACACTCCTCACACGGTTCGTGGCCCCATAGGGAACCCAACCGAAGGTCCCAGTGGCACAGTTCGCATGTGTCCTTCCCGCCCACCGCATGCCCATTTCGGCACACCCCTCGCACGGTTTGCGCCCCATAGGGAGCACAGTTCGCATGCGTCCACCCCGCCCACCGCAGGCCCATTTCGGCGCACCCCTCACACGGTTCGTGGCCCCATAGGGAGCTCCACCAAGGGCCCCAGTGGCTGCGCCCGCATGCTGCCTCCGCACCCATTTCGGCACACCCCTCACACGTTTCGCGGCCCCATAGGGAGCTCCACCGAAGGCCCCAATGGCAGGGTCCGCATGCCGCCCCCGCACCCATTTCGGCACACCCCTCACACGTTTCGTGGCACCACAGGGAGCAGCACCGAAGGCGCCTTGTCCGCATGCCTCCCCGCCATCAATTTCGGTGCACCCCTCATTCCTCATACGTTTCGTGGCCCCTGGCCCCACATCGAGCTCCACCGAAGGCCCCAGCGGAGACTTTCGCCCCCCCGTGGGCCTCTTGAAGCAGTCTGCGGACGTTCTGCCGGTGCGAGAGACCCGCCAGAGGTCCCCTGTAATGTAATTCACGCAATATCACGTGCTCGAATGTTTTTTCAACGGAGCTGCCTCCTGGCCTGCGCGGGTCTGGAACCTGGCTCCCAACGACGCGGTGCGAATTTCAGTTCGCAGAACTTGTGAAACGGCGTTGTGAACAACGCTCTGGGGCAGTTTACGGCCAGACCTGCTGGGCGGGATTAGTCCGCAGCCAGACCTTCTCTCGGTCCTGTGGACTCTCGCCCTGGGCCGTCGGCTGTCCGGCGCGCTGCTCCCTCGGCCGACATCGCCCAGGCGTGGTCCTGGATTGCGGCCGCCACGAGGTGGAGAACGGCAAGAAGGAGGAAGACGACTGGTGGCTGGAGCTCTACGTGTTGCTCTCGCGCGCCACGCGCCACGAGGACCTCCTGCTCATGCGGGCGCCGCGCATCGAGTTCTTCCTGGCAGGGCCGCCGGAGGGCTCGCGGAAGCAGCTGGAGCAGTTTGCTGCGCGTACGAAGCGGTGCAGAAGGGAGGCGACGGCCCTCGCCAGGGAGCTGGGATTCACCGCGTTTATCCGCAAGGCTTCACCTGAGGAGCGGCCCGTCCGAGCCCCGCCTTTCTCGACGGTCTGACTGTTCGGCCTCGCGCCGCGGGCGACCCGTGCGCGTCGCTGGGGCCCTCTCGGGGCGACCAGCGCGCGTCGCGGAATTCCGCGCTGCGCTCTGCCCAGAGCCTCGCTCGCCCCCGTCGTCGCTCTGCCCAGCGGCCGCAGCCTTGCTCGCTATCAGCTAGCCTGCTCGCTCTCTCTGCTCCGCGGAGCGGACGACCCGCGCGCGTCGCTGGGACTCTTTCGGGGCGACCGGCGCGCGTCGCGGGAACGCCGTGCGGCGCCGCGCCCGCAGCCGTGGACATCGGCGTGCGCGGGCGAAGAAAGAGAAACAATGGCGGGAAAAAAAGCGGGCGCGATCTTCGTTGGAGCGTGCCGACACGGTCGTCGACGTTCATGCGCGTAGACTGATGAGCACGCAGACTCGTTCACAATCAGACGCACTCGCGCTCAGGCTCACCCGTTTTCAGTCTCTCGCACTCAGACCGATCGTCTGTGTTCGCGTGGTGTGCCCCGCCACGCATTTCGGCGCGCCCCTCGCGCGGTTCGTGGCCCCGTAGGGAACGCAGGCGAATATTATATGCACAATGGCGGTATTCACAGCTGCGTATGGTTGGGTCCTTCGCCAGGCTAATTCTGTCTGAGCATGTTCGTTTTTTTTTTTTTCCTCTCAATTTGTCGTCCAAAATCCGCCCATAAGGGGACATGCCCAACCTAAGGCTCCTTCGTGCTTGTCCGGAGGCTTGACTCTCCCAGACACCAAAGCGCTGGCGGGTTCCCCTCGGCGGCGGCGTGCCATCGATTCGGTTTTTGTCCCCACTCCCCTCTCGCCCGCCCCCAGCCCAGACCCGCCCGATAGGAGGAGGAGGACGAAGAGGAGGAGGAGGAGGAGGAGGAGGAGGAGGAGGAGGAGGAGGAGGAGGAGGAGAGAGAGGAGGAGGAGGAGGAGAGGGGGAGGAGGAGGAGGAGGGGAGGAGGAGGAGGAGGAGAGAAGGAGGAGGAGGAGGAGGAGAGGAGGAGGAGGAGGAGGAGGAGGGAAAGCAGGAGAGGAAAAGGAGGAGGAGGGAGGAGGAGGAGGAGGAGGGGGGGGAGGAGAGGAGGAGGAGGAGGAGGAGGAGGGAGGAGGAGGAGGAGGGAAGCAGGAGGAGGAAAAGGAGGAGGAGGAGGAGGAGGAGGAGGAGGAGGAGGAGGAGGGGGAGGAGGAGGAGGAGGAACCCTCCCAGGGGCCCCTCCCGGTCAGGCTTTCTTGTCGGGGCCACGCTCTGTCTGGGCGCTGCATTTTTTCACCGACGGGCGTCTTCGCCTGGTAAAGGGCCCCGGGGACCCTCCCAGATCGATGCGCCGACATTGGATCGGAAGGTTCCCGCGTAAGGTCGCGCGTAAGCGCCCTCGTCTCCAGTGTGGTGTTCCGCGCTGGCGGCCCGCCCGCGTAAGCCACCGCGTAAGGTCGCTGTGCCATCTCGCGTAAAACCCGTTTCTTTTCGTCGCTCAGATGTTGTATTTTTTCGTTGCGTCGGATCTCAGGGGGCCACCTATTGTGCTAAGACGGCAGGGAGGACGAGGAGGATCGGGTCGCGCGATGGGGTGACGCGACTGTGACAGGGGGTGTGTGCGGTAGGTTCATTCGGCGATGGTGCGCTGGCGACGCCGGCAAAGGCGTTCAACAGCACCGAGGGGCACGGCGACGCCACTGGTCAGGGCCACTGGTTCCGCCGTCGGGGACGCCTGCCCCCCGAGGCGGCTGGAACGTTTATGCCCCCACGGTGCCACGTAGGGATGCAAACTTTCCAGCTGCCCAGGGGGCAGGCGTCCCCGACGGCGGAACAGTTTATTTTATGATGGGCGCTCTGGGCAGCATTTGAGCGCGGGGAGAAGTCGCGCGAGCGTCGTGGCCCCTATTGGCTATCTTCTTGCTTGTCTCTAATGCTGCGGGACGGCTATTCACGGCTGAGGCGGATCCCCATCCTGCGCGCCCGCGAGCGCGTTCTCGTCGCAGGTGAATGGGATTTGTCTCACGCGTGGCCGTCCCGCTGGCGGGATGCGTTTTTCGCGCGCGTTCGCTTGGCCGCTCCGCCGCCTCGTTCTCCCGTCGCAGGTTCCCCCCCCCCCCCTCCTCCCGCGCGCGCGTCGCTTGACCGCTCCGCCGCCTCTCTCTCCCGTCGCAGGTTCTCCCCCCCCCCCCCTCCTCCCGCGCGCGCGTTCGCTTGGCCGCTCCGCCGCCTCTCTCTCCCGTCGCAGGTTCCTCCCCTCGCCCCTCCTCCCGCGCGCGCGTTCGCTTGGCCGCTCCGCCGCCTCTCTCTCCCGTTGCAGGTTCCTCCCCTCCCCTCCTCCCCCACAGGTCCGCGCGTCTACTTCGCGGAGAGCACCTACGTCCCTCGTCGGTTTTGCGGCTCGAAGGTCAGGACACACATGAGTACGGGTCATCCTGGGCCGAATGCCGACCCAGTGCGCAGTATGCCTGCGGATGCCGTATGCCGGCCACTTGTCCCCTGCGCTGTACTGCAAGTGCGCGCCGTATGCTGGTCCCTTGTGCGCAGTATGCCTGCGGATGCCGTACGCCGGCAATCATTCCTCTGTGCAGTATGCCTGCAGTGTGTGCCGTATGCCGGCCATTGTGCGCAGTGTGCCTGCGAATGCCGAATGCCGGCCCTGTACGCAGTATGCCTGCGATTGCTGCCTGTCAGCCCCTCTCCGCAGTATGCCTGCGCGCGCGGCTGTGCGCCTGCAAGTGGGCGCCGTATGCCGGCCATTAAGCGCAGTATGCCTGCGAGTGCCGTATGCCGGCCCCCACCCCATAGCGCAGTATGCCTGCGTGCGTTGCAGTATGCCTGCAAGTGTGTGCCGTATGCCGGCCCTTGTACGCAGTACGCCTGCGGTTGCCGTATGCCGGCCCAGTGCGCAGTATGCCTGCGGATGCTGCCTGTCAGCCCCGGTGCGCAGTATGCCTGCGGCGTGCGTTTGCCTGCCCTCTTGCGCTGGATGCCTGCGGGTTATGTCATGTGCAACCGCCAGCGCGCGATAAGGACGCCGAGGGGGATACGTGCACGGCGCTTTCCGACGCGCGCGCAGCATCCATGGCGCTGGCTCGCTCAGACATCGTTGAGTTGCTTGGCGATCTGCCTGCTGGCGCATTCGGCACCGACAAAAATGCCATCAGGGCGCGCGCGCGCGTCTCCGTGCGTCTACCGCGGGCATGAGCCCACTCGCAGCGGCGCGCAAGGCCGATTGGGTCCTCTTCGTCGCAGCGGCCAACGCGGCGGAGGGGGGCGCATCGCCAGCTCCCGAGCAGGTGCTGTGCACCACGGTCGCGCGCCTGATGGCCGAAGCGATCGGGGCGGTCCGCCCGATTGATTACTCGGATGCGGCCATGCGCGATATGTTGATTGCGGCCCTGAAGCCAGGCGCGAAGCCGTTTGCGGGCGATTCTTCCGCGGAGTGGCGCGATTTCGCGATTAAGCCGTGCCACATCAATATGGCGCTGCGGACACAGTCGCGAGCGATGGAAGCCTTCGGGCGGAAGGCCCCCACCCCGTTGGTGCGCAAGGGCGCGGGCCGCCGCGCGGCGTGCCGCCAGGAGGGTCAGCAATCGGCCCCGGCGGAGGCGGCCGCCAAGCCCGCGGAGGAGACGACGCGGATTGCGGCGGCAATGGAAGAATACGTGAAGGCCAGCAAGGAATTGCTCGAAGAAAAGCGGGAGAAGCCGCTGGCGTTTACCATGGAGGCGCGCCGCGTTTTCGCATGCGCGGGCGGCATTGTTCGGGGATACGCGCCTCGGCAGGACCGTGTGCGCGAGGTCTGGCTCGGCAAGTTCCCCCGTGAGGGATTGCCGACCGAGGAGTCGATGCGCAAATTCGCGGCCGCGGGCCGGACGGCCCAGTCCCATGGCCGCTCATACATTGGGAGCGCCGAGGGCGAGAGCCTGCAGGCTCCCTGCTCGGCGGCACGTGCAATGACAAGCTTCCGTTTCGCCGATTGCTCCGCGCGCAGGACCACTGCAAGCCCCAATGGGCGCGAATGCCGAAGCTGGACTCGGTGCCAGCGGGGGCGGGCTCGTGGCGCGATCGCGCGTCGGCCGTCACCGCGGCGAACCGCGCGGGCGCGGCCCTGGACCGAATGGATTTTCTCGGTTATGCGCACTTCCAGGTCGCGCGCGACACAGCGCAGCGCGCGCGCCCGCGCGCGCCCCGTGGCGCGAGGCCCACGTAATGGAGTGGGGGCTTCGCTGCATCCTGTCCAAAGTGTTTGATCCCGTCGTGCTATTGGGATACATGTACCAGCTCGCGCGCGTGAGCGAGGAGCACGGGGGCGTCAAGGCGCGTCCGCGGAGCGGCGGGCCCGATGCCCGGGGAGCCGCGCGCGGGAGCCCGCGCCGCGTCCAGGTTTCCTACACGTGCGATTTGCTTCTCCGCCAGAACGTGGCGAAAGACCTGGGGCCACCTATTGTGCTAAGACGGCAGGGAGGACGAGGAGGATCGGGTCGCGCGATGGGGTGACGCGACTGTGACAGGGGGTGTGTGCGGTAGGTTCATTCGGCGATGGTGCGCTGGCGACGCCGGCAAAGGCGTTCAACGGCACCGAGGGGCACGGCGACGCCACTGGTCAGGGCCACTGGTTCCGCCGTCGGGGACGCCTGCCCCCCGAGGCGGCTGGAACGTTTATGCCCCCACG